ATAAGTTTCTTCTTTCTTTCTGGCAAATGCAATAGTTTGATTATAATGTGTTCCAGTGTGCGTTGCTTTGAGTTTATACTACTTGGAGATTATTAAGTTTCTTGGATTTGTAAATTCATATCTGTCTTCAAATTTGGAAGTTTCAGCCCTTAATTCTTTAAATAAATTTTTGTTCCTTTTTTTTCTTTTCTCTTTTTTGAATCCCATTATTCATACATTGGTTCACTTGGTGGCATGCCATTTTTAAAAGTTCTCTTTCTTTCTGCCCTCAGACTGGATACTTTCAATTCTCCTATCTTCAGTTTGCTGATTCTTTTTTCTGACTAATCAAATAATTTGTTGAACTCTTGTAGTGAATTTTTCATTTTTCATTTCAGCTTTTCAATTTTCAGCTCTAGGGTTTCTGATATTTGTCAATATTGATACATTTTACTGATTTTCTTCAATCCTTTGTCCATGGTTTCCTTTACCTCCTTATGCCTATTTAAGACAGTTAATTTTAAAGTCTTTTTCTAGTAAGTCTAATGTTTGGAATTTCTCAGGTGTAGTTTCTTGTCATTTATTTTGTTCTTTTGAATGGGCCATACTTTCCTGTTTGTTTGTTTGTTTGCATGCCTTGTAATTTTGTTGTTGAAAATTGAGCATTTGAATATTATAAATGTGGTAACACTAGAAATTAGATTCTTGCTTTTCCCCAGGGTTTGCTGGGGGCTTTTTATTTCATTATTATTGAAGCCTACAGAAATCCATTTAAGTTACTTTTCTACTCTATTTTTTGCAAAGATTATATTCCTTGTTATGTGTGGTCACTGAAGTATTCATTCCTTCAGCTTATGTTCGCCTAATATTTTAGTAGAGGTTTTTTTTTCTTTTTTTGAATGCCAGGAGTTTACAAAAATAGCTAAAAATAGCCCTGGCTAGTGTGGCTCAGTTGGTTAGAGTATCATCCTATAGGCCAAAGGTTTGCAGGTTTGATTCCTGGTCGGGGCACATGCCCAGGTTGCAGGCTGATCCTTGTTTGGGGCACATACAAGAAGGCAACCAAGTTGATGTTAGTCTCTCACATCGAGGTTTTTCTCTCTCTCCATTCCTGTCTCTCTAAAGGCAATGAAAAAGTGTCCTTGAGTGAGGATTAAAAAAAAAAAAAAACAACTAAAAACAAGCAAACAAAGTTTTTTTCTTCCAATCTTTGCAGATCAGTTCTGTGTTGGAGTTTGTACTGAATCTAGGGATCACTCCAAAGTGAAAATTTGGGTCTTCTCAAGAGTTTTCTAAACACGCATCTTAACATGGGTATGTACGGCCTTTCCTTCCAGGCCTTAGGTATCTTGACTATATTTTGCCCCAGGTATTTGTAGTTTTTGAGTTCTCACAGTATTTTTTTTTTTTTTTAACCAAAACCCACAGCCTTTCCTGCCTGAGTTCTGAGTTAGGAAAAACAGAGAGGAACACCTGTCAGCCCTTCAGCTAGCCCCTAGACAGGGTGCAACAGAAGTAAGTAGGAATCTTTTACTGTCTCTCCTGCTCCCTTTGGAACCAGACACCAGGACCCCACAAAGAGAGCACACAGGCTGACACTGTTTCAAGACTGCCACTGTGCGGGAGAGGGAGGGGTAAGACAATAGCAGGTAAAAATGCCACTGAAGTTTTCTTTCAGTTTATTCAGCATTTGCTTGGCTGCTATAAACTTTTGACTATTTTCCAGAATTCTGATAAACTTGGTTCTGGTTTGTTTTTCGATGATTCTGGGTGGGGATAAGAGGTGGGATCTGCCTACTCTGTCAATTTGCTGATGTCATCTTACGTGCTTTATAAATGGCTTATTTTTTCCTGAACTTTTCTCCCTCCCCAAGAATCTGGCAAGAGTCCACCATTTTACTTTGTTTCTACAAATTTGACTGCTTTACATACTTGTATAAATGAAATCCTACAGTATTCGTCTTTTGTGACCAGTTTATTTAAGCATAATTACTTCAAAGTTCATCCACGTAGTAGTAGGTGACAGGAATTCCTTCTTTTTTTAAAGACTGGATAATATTCCATTTTGTTTATGCACACATCCATCAACACAGATTGGGTTGGGTGGCTATTGTGCATATCACTACAATGAACAGGGGCGTGCTAATATCTCTTCAATATCTTGCTTTTGATTCATTCAGAAGGTTGCCATAGCCACCTTTATCCTAACTTGATGTTCATTTTATTTTGTTTAAATATCTTTGATTTCTACTTATTACTTAAATGACAGCCAATAAACATTCTTTCTCCCTCTTTTATTAATAAATTGCATTGTTTCTACTTTCTCAAAATACATAATTTCTATGTAATATTCTCCTACCCTTGCCTCTATTTTTGTTTTAGTCTTGGATCTGCAGCTACAATATATTTTAGAGCCCTATAGTTTTTCCAGTCATCTCCTAATTGGATAAAACATCCTTTCACAGATTTCTCAGGAAACATTCCCCAAGTTCCTGTCTTGTTTTACTTTGTATGTTGTTGCTGAGAATCCTAATAGCAACCTCATTTCAGTGACTCTTTTTGCCTAGAGGCCCCAGGGATATTTTTCCTCTTCATATTGACTAATCTGTATCCAGTTCCAATCAGGCCTTCTATTTCTGGAAACTTTTCTTGGATTACCCACTTAACCACTAGATCTGTTCCATTGTTTTTCTTTTTCAGGGACTCCAACTATTCCTACATTGGCTCTTATTTGTGGGTCCTCTATGTTGACCACTTTCTCTCTGACCTTTGTACTTATTTTTTTTCACTCTTGGCCTTTCATGCTTTTAGTAAGTTTCCAGTTGAATCTAGTTTTCTCTGAATATCTTATAATTTCATCTTTAAGATGACTTTACTTTCTCTTTATTCCTCAAATTCTTTCCTGAGTTCATTCAACTCTTGTTTTCTGCCTTCCTACTTTGTTTTGTTTTGGGCCTGTTTCTGAATTTTGTAATTTCTCCTTTGAGGTGTTTTGTCATAGCGTGTGAAAGTTTTGTTGAAAAATAAATAATCCTTTTGGAATGTGTTATAATTTGCTTAATATTTTATTTATTGGGGGATAATTTTATCAGCTGAAATATTTTCTCTTTAATTTTACAGCTTTGTATGATGCCCTGTTTTCTGTTTGCTTTGTGCTTTTAAAAAATGTTTTAAATAATTTCAAACTTCTAAAAATGTTTTCAGTCTTTTTCTTCTATAAGCTTCATGATTTCTTTAAAGTATACAGACCAGTTATTTTGTAGAATGTTTCTCAATTTAAGTTTGCCTGATACTTCATAATTAGATTCAGATTATACTTTTCTTTGGTTTGTTTTTGCAAAAACATCACAAAAGTGATGCTGTGTTCAGTGTATCATTTCAGAAGGCATGTAATATTGCTATGTCCCATTACTAGTGGTGTTACTTGTATGTACTTGGATACAGTGGTATCTACCAGGTTACTTCACTGTAAAGTTACTATCTTCCCCTTTGTAATTAATAGCTGTCTTTTTTGGAAAAATACTTTGAGGCTGTATGTTTTATATGCTTTTCCTCACAAACTTTATCCCACTAAATCTAACATCCATTGATGGTGACGGCCTAGGTCAATTATTACTGTTAGGATTGCCAAACAGTGACTTTCTAATTCATCATCTACATTTCATTGTTGGCAAACTACCCTGAGTAGCTTTCTTTTTTCCCTCATCAATTCGTATCAATACATACCGAGTAAACAGTATGTAAGTACATACTCCTAATACCTGTGAAGTGCTTAGGTGGGAAGTGCACGGAGCCTGCACCTTACCCTAAAACGTAATAACACGCACACACTCAAGAGCATAAATCAAAGGTGAAAAAACTTAAGTTATTCAATTGAGGTGAACAGTGTATGGGAGACCATTGCACTGCTCTGCGACTCATTTGAAAAAAATTGAAGTCAGCCTACAGATTTGATTTACCAGTATTTGAATATATTCAAATTTTATTTCCATTGTCTATAGAAATCTGAATACTAGCATCTGTGCAACAGTCCTCTGAGGCAGAGGGAGAACACCATACACAAATCTTACACACTGAGATAACAGTACCATGTTTGACAAGACTGTTTATAATTCAGTGAACCAAGCTAGACAAAGCAGCCAACTCAAGATGAATGATTCCAATATTATGACATGAGTGAACTTATCACTTAGGGAACATTAGAAATAATAATAAAATGTTACACAGACTTATGAAAGTTCAGTATTTTTCCCAAAGAGTATATATAGACAGGTTCACAATATAGAAACCTGTACATTACAGCACTCTGAGGTTTTAGCAAAGCATACGTTATAGATACATTTGCCATATAGTGCAATTTTATTGTGTAAAACATGAATAATAGTGCACTTATTTCCAAGAGTCACATTCAAATATATCAAGAGTACAATTCAAATACCCGCTATTGAAGAAATACATATTCTTTTTATAATAACTAAGTTGTGCAAGTATAACATTTTTAGTGTTGATGGCGACAGAGCTATAAGTATTCTATACAACAGAACTCAGGGTGTATTTGTGTAGAATAACCCACCTCTCCATTTTAAAAGTGAAACAAATGTCCTGGGCAGGCAGACAGACACAGGCAGTGTTCCACAACTTGTCTTTATTACAAATCACAAACAGAGTTATCTGTATACTCACAGATGGTTAAACAGAATGGATCTGAAGGCGGTAAGCTCTCATCAGGCATTGTTTTTCAGGACAAAGTAGTGTCTACAGTGAGCCCCACTCTCTTTCACTAAGTTAAGCACAAACCAGAGTTTCTGCAGTGTTGTTCAAACATAGGACATTGGGTTTCTCAGAGGGAATTCAGATAAGAAGTCCAGATTTTCTAAAACCTGGCCAGAGTTTCAGAGGGTCTCTTCTGGCCTATTGGTTTAAAGGAAGATGCTGTGGAAACCAGATTATAAAGACTGAGTGAAGGTAAAGGCAGTTTTATTCAGTAAAACAAAAATTAGAAAACTGATATTGTAGGAAAATTAGCATTTCATATCACCTGAGTATAAATAATAATAATGAAATCAGTCTTTTAATGTTTTTTTCTTTTTTGTCAAGATGATGAAATACATAAAAATACTATCTGGTAATAACTGGTAATGAGCCCTGGACGGTAGGGAAGATCTGACAGGGTAAAGAATAAGAAATAACTATTGTCTTGAGCTACAACGTAAACCTGTATCAGATGTACTGAATGGCTTCATTTTCTGGTAAATTTCAAAGCTGCCAGAACAGAAGATCAAGTATTCTAAAAACTGCTCATTTTTGGTCCAAGAAATAACTTTCTGATAAAGAGTGCTCATAGTACCCTCACACACTTTTCATTCATTAGATCTCGATATGGATAAATACCAAAACTTCTGCCTCAGGTTAAGGTCTTAAAATAGAACCTGATAACCCAGTTAAGACTGACAATTAAAATAGCTAATTCTGAAGGCAGATTAAGTACAAGAATTACATCTTTAAGCAGATTTTTGAAAAAATGTAGCATATTGTTCCCATTTTTCACTTCAAGAGATCGCCACTAATCAAATCTTTTCCATTATATTGATTGGTTAATTTAACATAAGTACTGTACTAATTGAATCAAAGACTAAAATCTCACTATATTTCATCCTTTAAAATGAAAAGCAATGACATATTACCTATCTAAATCAGATTTGAAAGTTTAAATTCCCATATGGGATCTGAAATGACTGTCTATTGTCTTCCAAAGTTTCTCCCAAAATCACTTTAAAATCTTGCTTCAAAGTCCAAATTTTTCTTAGAAACAAACACATTTATAGGCTGTTTAAACCTGTTAGGTTTTACAATTTATGCTTATTTTCTTCCCATTAAATAAAATCAAAATGAAAAATTTTGACCAAACAATTACTGAAAAGACTTACACCTAAGGTTTTCAGCATTTTTATAGTCAACCATGTTCTTCTGATATCAAAAAATATCATTAATTAAATATCATTATATTGCTGATAGAGGATTATAGCAATCCTTTGTATTTTTAAGATATCTTTTGTGGGGAATATTTTTTGCATCCTAAAAATGTAAACCAGCAGCCTTCTCTATAAGTGAATATAGAAGATGCCTAAATACAAAAACTTGAAAATATCTTCCTTGATTTTTATTGACTCCTGTGTGACAATTTGCTTGCTCATTAATTCTGCCACTATTCTCTTCATTAAAGATTTTAAAGCCACACTTATCAAAGACAATTGTCCAAACTTAATGTTTAACAAGTACTGTCTTATGAATTCACACATTGTATGTATTCTCATCGAATGGATGGGTAACTTCACAGAATTACTAAAAGCACTCTGAAAGTTATACTGATAAAGCACTTGTTTTTTTGACAAGAGTTCTTGAGTTTTGTAAAACCTTAACATTTACATTATTAGATGACCCTTTAAAAAAATGCACTGATACCGAAGTTTGTTTTTACAAGCTAAAATCAGAACTGTGGTTTGGACGATCTCTGATTATAAATTACTAAAATGAAATTTGTCCAAACAGCTTAAGATCCCTGTCTCAATAAAAGAAATAAAAAGAAACTGAAACACTATGCTATTATATTCTGGCTTATACATAATATGTGCAACAGTAAGACAGCTATAAATTGATGGCATATAATTTCTCCATGGCCAAACCTAATAAAAACTCCTTCGTATGTTTAAACACATAGAAGCCCTATGACGAATAAATATCACTAGTGGGGGGTCACTTTTAAAGAATTACTGGAAAAAAAAAAGTCCTCTAGATGTCTAGATGATTTTTCAAATGGGTCCATTAACAGAGAAGAAAAGGGCACCTTCTTCATATCTAGTCTTGAGACAAAGTTAGAAGAAAACAAAAAGGTCAGCTGCCTGAACAAAGCAATTTTGAGGGCCATAAAAAAGCTAGGGTGTTTTCCCTTTTAAAAAATATAGACATTCCACATAACACAGATATACATATATCAAGATAGTACATCTCCTTTGCTCCTTGCCCTAGCCCTTTGGCAAGGGCTTTAGTGCCCCGAGATTTATAACTATAGCCAAGAAAACAAGTCAAGAATAAAACTGAGCTTACAGGAGAAGGCAGAAAAATTTACCAAAAGAGAGTTCTGATGATGAACTGTCATCCAGTTTTTTTGCTAAAAGTCTAAGGAAACAGAAAAAAGATAAAGCTTGGGACAACTGGGACAGAAAGAATGTGTCACTCTCTAAGGCTTCTGAGTGTGGCCAGAGATTTTGTTAGAGTCAGTTTTTTTAAATTACATTTTTAGGTCCGTACATAACTCTAAAGCAGGGTTCAGTTTTGGTATGTTTTACACTGAAATGGTTATATACAGATGGGGTGGAAATGGTATTAATGATTAATTTTTCCCCTATCCTTTCAAAGGATAACTAGAATTGATAGTAATTGTTAAAATGAGCAACTCCACAAAACAGAAATGCACATGGAAAACCCTGAACTACAAGCTGTTAGAGCCGCAGGCATAAACTAACCCAGCATAAACACAGTCATCGCTGTTGCTGTAACACTGACACATTTCAAATCTGAAGTTTAAAATGTAGCTGCATCATGTTCATAAACTTTCACCTCCACTTAAATTATATTTGCCTCACATGTAATGAACAAATCAGTAGAGTCAAATTTTCAAAAGGCTTAAACCACCACGAAAGCTGTAACCTTAGTATTAGTAATTCTTAGAATACTTAAAAATAAAACGAAACACAATAAAACATACACATACATACATAAACCAGTGCAATAAGAACTTCAGACAAGGGCAGTACATCTCTGGTTTAAGGAAGCCATATTTGTAGCTTAATTATACCAAACTAACATCCATTATAAATGATGGTTTAATGTTACATCCAGCATTTGATAAAACCTGTAAAACCAATTCAATAGTAACAATACCATATCAGTAACAAATTCCTACTTTATTTCTATATTGCACATACTTTGAGTCTACTGTTAAATTTACTTCTTAATGTAAATATCACAGGGCTATACCTGTTGTCCTTGTAAAAATAATTTACCTTGAATAAATACTCAGAATTTATTTCTTGACAAACGAGAATGAGACAGTATTCAGCTTTGTTAGTCCAAAACTATTTTAAACAGAATGACAAAAGTATTGGAAATGGCATATTAAACATAAAATTCTTGGTTTATCCACCATTTCAGTTTTGAAAAATATTTCTAATATTCAAAATGTTTAAACATCTGACCTTTTTTTTTAAACTAACATATTCCTTAAAGAGATTAATCATATCCTTGACTGGTCTGAAGCACTGTTTGAAAGTGGACACAGAGAAAAACTTACAATGAAATGCCTATAACACAAATGGCATTACGTAGAGGTCACCTGATTCACACAAAATAAAATAAAATGACTAGCACCTCCTTCCTGCTCTTAAAGTAAAAAGGCCTAAGAGGCCACATGAAACATGAGTAATTATAGTAAGTTTTATTCATAAAGTATTGAGAAATCCGTTAGATTAGGGGGTTCTCACATCTAAAGCCTTAAGTTCAAGGCTACTGTGTAAAAGTGGGCTGAAGGACGAAAGGAGAGAGAGGCGGGACACAGCGCGGGAAGGTCCTTATACAGGGGGTGGGGGCATCTTTCAGGGACTCTCCTGCATCCCATCCTCAGTCTCCAGTTCTGCCAACTGCCTCCGAAGGATATTTACTTTTGCTTGTAATTTCTTATTATATTCAATAATGTTAACCATTTCTTCATATGCTTCATCCAAGTACTTGGAGGATCTGTTCCAACGTAGGAAAATACCTGTTAAATCCAGGAAAGGAAAACAAGAAAGATACATACAATGGATTAATATTAAAGTTGTGGATAATGTATAATGTCATATATTAATTTTTTCTTTTTTCCCACAATTCACATCTATGTTTCATTATTTTCTAATATATAGGAATCTTGAGGTACTGAAAGGGTACAATTAAATACAAGAAGTCACTATTTAAGAAGTCATTATTTTTATGTACATACATGCTCATTAATTCTTCACTCAACCCAAAATTATTAAATAGATCAAAATAATATTCTCTAATATATTTAGGAAAACAAGTAGATAATTTAAAATGGCATAAACTTTCCAGTTTCACACTAGAAATCTTTTTTCCACAATTATAGAACTTTATTCAGACCTGTAAGACCTTCTACATGTGTGGAATCACTTTTACTGAAAATGTAAGTTACAGTAAAAGGAGAACCACACTACTTCGTTATCTAAAAACATCTTCACTTCAGCGCTTTCTCTCCCTTTGACTTACAGTCTTTAAATTATGCAGGCAATTGCTCCTTTCCCCAAATAAAAATTATCACTTTATTATGGACTGAAAGGAGACACATTCTATTCTACATAGACCTGTGTTAACTACATCACCCCAACACGATGGCTTAAAGACATTCAAGTAAGGAGGTACAGAAAACTTCCCAGGCTTGCAACGTGTCAGTAGCTGGCAAGTTCAGAAAGGTTTTATGATTCATTAAAATATGTTCCATCAATCAAACTGCCAGGGGCCCTAAAGAGTCTTTCTATGTATGTCCAAATGTTACTCTCTATCAGAAGGGGAAAATAGAAACATAGATTAAAGACTGATTGACCTGTGTTAACTTTTCTACTTACAAGCCTATTTTTAAAATCCTGTTCTTCAATACAGGAATTACTTAATATTAATGGTTAACTCTGATGTAAATATAAACAGCAGAGAGACATTTTAAAGCTACAAAATAGTCTCATACTCTATTCACCTACAGTGAGAAGATTTTACCTAACATAATTTCTTCCAGTCCTAAGTTGAGGAAACACTAAACACATATGAAAACTCTATTCCTGATAGAGTGGTGGGAATTCATTCACATAACAACAAAAATTTCTTCCTATCACTTAATCCCTAAACTCTCAGTGAGGTTTAAACTAATTAGTAAAAACTAATTAAATCATCCTTCAGGCCATCCAACTCCTAAATTTGGCTTTTCTCCCAAGTAAGCTGGTCTCTTGTTTCAGTTATTAAGCATGACTGTGGCTTTTAGGTAAATTATCCCACAAGTCTTAAGAAGTATAGCTGAAATCTCTTATTTAAGAGATTACTGATCTTGCATCTGTGGTTGTCTAACAATCAGGAGAGGAAGCAGAGAGAAGTTCCGAGCAGCCAAAAATTCCCAAAGCACTAATGCTCAGACTCAGAGCACCTCAAGGCTATCTGAGGACATTTTCCCACAATTCTGATGAGGGTCCCCCTTGACAGATAAGATTAGAAGCATAGACTGAGAGGAAGGAAGCAGCTATTGACAGATAGGCTGAGAGGAACAAGATGTGAGAACTGACATCTAGAGAAGTTACAGAGCAGACGTGATCTCAAGCTGAGAAGGCAAAGCAGTCTGAGACCCTCCATGTAAAGGGCAGATAGCTTCCCATGCGAGAACTGTCCACGACGGCGCCCCACGCCAGGACACGGTGCAGTAATGGACATCTGTGGTGAGTCAGTTCAGGTTACCAAACAGCTGCCATCCCTGTGTGTGTAGGCCTTACGCTGTTTACTACAGGGATGAATGAAGAGGTACTTACTGCCTTCAAAATGATTAAAAATAACTTAAATGGTATTTTATAGCCTTTCTTTAATGAATGGCTAATATATTTTAGATACATTTTGGCTATTTAAAAAAAACAGTCTTTGGCATTTAAGGAAATAAGCTTCAGGTGTCTGAAAAATTACTGGAGGTAAAACACCTTCTCTGGAACTGATTTAAAAATTAAGCGTGGTATTGTTCCACATGCACATTGGGATATCTACATTACTGCACTGATGGATGCACCTGTGTACATTTGTAAACTAACCAGAACAGGCAGCTCATTAACCCTTAGGAGGCTTTAGCAAAAGCGCCTGTCCTGGCTTAAGACCGCCTAATAAAGGAAACAGGACCCATCTCGAAGGAGGGTACAACCTGTTCCTGTCCTGCTATCTATCAACTTTCTTACACAAAACGTAATGTGCTTTCCCTCACTCTCATTAGGATGGCCACTACCAAAGTGGGGTGGGGGGAACCCAACAAGAAAATAACCACTCTTGGCAAGGACGTGAAGAAATCAGAACTCTTGTGTACTGTTGGTGGGATTGTAAAAAGGTATACCTGTTATGGAATACAGTATAAAGATTCTTCAAAAAATATTAAGAAAGAAATAATTACACACAGGTCTGAGAGTGAAGTCCATCTTACCATCTTCAAATACCAACAAAACAGCATGTACTCAGAGGCAGCTGACAGAGCACCCTTGGCTAATGATAAAATGTTTGTAAAGGATGCATGGCTTACCTTCCCAGAGCTGAAGACTCTGTGGAGCAACCGAAGGCCAGATGACAAGATTGTTGGCTTCAAAGAGGGGATTAGTGAATTTACTCAGTTCACTGGGCCGATTGACCCAAGACCACAGAGACATCGTTTTCTGCTGTAGCTTCAACTTACATCTGATCAAGAAAAGAAAAATTGCCATTAGAGAAGTTAATTTATAACAATCACTATCAAATGTTCCTCCTAATAGGATGCTTTTTTCTGTATGTCAGAAGGCAGAATACAAGGCTTTTATTAGAGGAATGAAACACAAAATAAAAATATCTATCAGAAAAGTCAGCATTATACTTCTTAATAACAACAAGACAAAGGCTGTTTTACAGTGAGAAGGAAAAAAAACCAGAATCTGATCATGTCAGGTTCAGTGTTCAACATTAATCCATATATACAAAGCCTTTTATTGTGTCTGGGATGGTATTTTAATTTAAAATAGTTAAATAGATTAATACAGATTTAATCTACATTCATATACAATGAACAGTCTTCATAATAATTCTGAAATTCTGTAACTCTATCATGGAATAAACTGTTAGGGATGGAAAGTAAAATGGCATACTTTAGAAAAAAATAAAGTTTAACAAGAATTGAAAGATAATTTGTGGTAAACCTTACATTAACCAAAAAAATAATATAGTCAATTTTCACAGGATTCTGTTCAAGCTGAAGTTTTACTGTAAAACTGATTTTGTCTTTGAAACTACTTGATTACTTACAAGCTTCATGACAGTTAACTATGTGAATATAGTTATACTAGTAATAAAAGGAATCCACATAATCACAGAAGCCATGTGGTACTAGCATTTAATTGCTAGGCTAGCAAGTCTTATACTACATCCCCAGGAACCAGGCATGCTGAGGGTAGGAAACCATTGTGCCGCTGGCCCCTCCACCCCTTCTCCCAAGCCCATAGGTGGCCAATCACTGAACTTTTTCAGGTTGAGCCTGCCCCACAGAGCTTCAGGCTCCTTCTCAATCAGCACTACTGGTAGACTCTACCAAATGACAATTAGAATGTGAGATAAAATCTATTTGCAATCTCTTTATTGAATGTAGGTGTCGGGGATATTAATAGGTACAGCACCAAAAAGAATCCACAGTCAAACATTATTGAGATGCCGAGTTAGTTATACACATTGCTTTAACAGACAAAGGCTAGAGCAGGAGTGGGAAGACCAGTCTCACAGCCCTACTTTTGGCAACCAGCTGGCTGTGTCACTGGACAAGGCATTTAACTTGTCTGCATACTGCCTTCCTAACTCTCTAAAACAGAATGGAGGGTACAGTTAGATTAAATGTTAAGGCTTCTTTCAGATGTAAGACACTATGACGCTATGTAAGGAAACTGTAATTTAAAACGGTTGTCCAGTTTACTCAAAACTTTTTAATCAGTATATGGAGTAATTTTAATCTAACAGAACAAAGTCTTAGGATATGCCCTCACCTAGCATGTAATAAGGTCAAAACAAGAACACACTTTATGTGATTCATACTAAATGCAATCTCCATCATCTTACAAGTAACATTAATGCAGAACCAAATCCTCGTCTCTTTTAGGAAGTGGCCAAAAAACTTAAAATGAAATGGCCCCTGTGTGAGCAGGGTACCCACCTTTCACTTTCATTGTTGCCCAGAAAAGTTCCAAATTGTGAGGCATACGCATGCTCAAAGAGCATGATGAGGAAATTCTCATTAAATTCAAAAGAACAAGGGAACTGACGAAATATCTGCCACACACAATCCAAGAAGAGAAGAAACACAGGTGACTCCCACTTCTGCTTACTATTACAATAGGCTGACTGTGCACAGCGCTGCTGAAACGGGTGACCAGCCTGCGAGAAAAGGTGAAAATGTGACGGTCATATCCCAGTGAGATCCCACATTCTATTAACATTATTTCACGTAGGTGCAATGAAATTCTTATAAAATGGAACACCATATGATTTTGGTAACTGCTGTTTAGATTAATGATTTCTTGGTTTAAAACAATTTCCAAATACTTAACAAGGCTGTGCAGTGAAGACATCACCAAAAGAACTGCAAGTGTCCTTTGAATGTCAAATGGAAGAATAATAAACCTAAGTAATGATAAACTCACATTTTTCTAGGTCGGCATAATTTGGAGCAAAGTCAAAGAACATGTACAGGCACATGTTCAAAACAAAGGACGGCTATCACCTTCTACTGTAGACTGCTATAAGCTCCATAGGCCTTCCCACTAAGTGGAGATAAATACAGGGCTCTGACAGACAAACTTAATGAGGGCACACCTGATATTGTCTTTAGTTGCACATGGAAAAGGAGTTACTGTCAACCTTTATGAATACTTTTTTATTAGAGATAAAGCTCTCCTTAGTTTCTCTTTTCTCCCAGAAAGACTCCCCAAAAGAACCAGAAGAGTCTGCCATCTACTGACCAAAGGAAATTTAAGAATCATTTGGCTCTGGCCCACCCAGAACCCGAGTACTGACCTTATCCCAAATCACACCTTTTTAGGTATTTCAGAGATCTGCTTTACCTTTGGATCCTTCTGTGTGACAAAGATAATGCCATGACCATTTTCCAGTGGCTAATGAGATTTTGATGCCATTAAAATGATAATATGTAAGTACATCATACTTGTTTCTTTGCTCTATATTATAAGAAACATGGCTGAATAAATTTCACCATTATTGAGGATAGTCTGACTTAAACAGAGACTTAAAGAGGATAGTCTGACTTAAAGGCCAGTTGTCAGGCGGGGTAGACATGGTACACATACATAATAAATCCATTAACACATACATCCAAATTGTAACTAGGAGGGTCAGAAATTATTTTCTTCAGAGATACTTTCATTTCCAAGATATCTACACATTTATTTTCAACAATTGTTTACTAAGTTACACAGTATACACATTCACCAATTAATCTCTGACTTGGAGGATTTCAGTCTATTTTATGATATATTTATTTCAGTTGTCATTTAGCCTTATGTGACAGCAGCATTGTGTCCTAGGGATAAACAGATGAATTGGGCAAGGTTCCCTGACCTCAACGAACTCACGTTATTTTGGTCTAGTTCAGGAAACAAGGTACAAAGAAAATGGACCAATTTTATCTGTGAAGGAGGTTAAGGTTCCCAAGACTTTAGGAAAACAGTGACATTTAACTATATCTTAAAGGATGGGAAGAATTTCATTTGGCTGGGGAAGAAGATAGCATGGAGCTAGCCTAGAGCAAAAGGCACAAAGTCAAAAACCACATGCCTTGTAATTACAAATCCCTACTCCTCCTTCTGCCTCATTTATGCCTTTTATCTGTAACAAGACTAAGCTCTGGAAGACAGGACTGTGTTTTACATTCTTTGTATTTTCCCTGTAGGTAACAAAGTACAACTAATAACAGTTTAAGGGAATGAAGTGCCAAATGAGCAATATAAGCAAAGACACATACAGAAATTGATAGGCAGTAAAGATTACAACCATTTAATGAGAGGAAGATAAACTCATTGTCTTCCAGAAAATGAAACATACAATTTAAACATTTTAATTAGGGGAGATTACAAGATGGCGGAGGAGTAAGTGGAAGTCACACTGACCTCCTCCTAGGACCAACCTGGAATTACAACTAAATTATGGAGAAATCACCTGGAACAAACAACTGAACAATAGCGAGAGAGGAGCCTTGTAACCTCGGAGACAGAAGCATCGGCTTTAGCGCAATCTAACTGGTAAGGAGTGCGGTAGAGACTCGAAAAGGCGGGCGGGGCGCCCACGGGTGGCAGCACCAGAAGGATATTGAAATGGCCAGTGGGATCCCCCCGGGAAGAGCAGGGTCTAAACCAAAAGCAGGGATCTCTAGCCCACAACACCAGAGCCCCAAAAGTACACAAAACAGCCAGCTGCGAAAAGCGGCAGGGTTGCTCTCTGCTGGAGACAGGTGGCTGGAGATGCATAGCACTGTTTAAAGGACCAACGCATAAATTTTTATTAGCAGCCACTCTGAGGAGAGACTGGGGAAGGAGGCTTTGGGGAGAGAACAGAGAGAGTAGCCGGCGGGATCTTGGTGCTGATTCATCCCTCATGCAGCAGCAGCCATCTTGCTCAGGCAGAGACCACTCCCCCTGAACAGCACCAGTGTCAAAGGACCCAACAGCCCTGCCCCCAGGCGGGATTCCACCCCACCCTGTGCTGTCTAAGTCACCTGCTGAATGCAGAGTGGCAGCCACAGAGAGTAGATCCCTGGCGAAAGTGGGCACAGAGAGGTCTGGAGAAACTTGAGGAGAGACTGGGGATGGAGGCTTTGGGGAGAGAATGGAGTAGCTGGCAGGATCCCAGTGTGGACTCCTCCCCCATACGGCAGCAGCATGAGAGGACTCAATAACCCCGCCCCAAGGAGGGACTCCGCCTGCCCTGAGCTGTCTAAGCAGGCCTGCTGAGTGCAGAGTGACTAGATTAACAGCTGAAGGAGACAGCCACAGACAGTAGACTCCGGGAAGTCTCAAACAGACTGCCTAAGGTCAGGCCGGGACGATATCTGATATCATCAAAGGCAGATCCAGAAAGAAAAAAACAGCGGTCTCCAACCATAGAAGTTCACACCACAAAGTCAGGAAATCAAGACAGATCTTGTTAAGAATCAGAAGCAAAAGAGAAGAGTCTCACAAATAATGGGAAGACAAAGAAATACGCCCCACTCGAAGGGAAAGGAGGAATCCCCACATAGAGAACTAAATGAAATAGAGGCAAGTAAGCTATCGGATATTGAGTTCCAAACAACAGTTTTAAGGAAGCTCAATGAGCTCAGTGAGCTCAGAGAGAACTACAAAAAACTACAGGGAAACTATGAGGAACTTACTGCAAACTATGTCGGCATGAAAAAGGACATAGAAACTATCAACAAGAGACAAGAGAAGTGAAGAATACAATTTCTGAATTGAAGAACACGGTAGAAGGAATCAAACGCAGGCTAGATGAAGCAGAGGATCGAATGAGCAAGCTGAAGGATAAGGTAGAAAAAAGCTCCCAGAAAGAGCAAGGAAATGAAAAAAGACTCAAAAAGAATGAAGAGGCATTGAGGGAAATGCGGGACAACCTGAAACGTAATAATGTCCGTATAATAGGGATACCAGAAGGAGGAGGAAGGGATAGAGAACCTGTCTGAAAAAGTAGTGATGGAAAACTTCCCTAATTTGAGGAGAGAAAAAGTTACACAAGTCCCGGAAGCACAGAGGGTCCCACTCGAGAGGAACCCCATGAGGCCCACTCCAAGACACATCATCATTAAAATGGCAAATATCAAAGACAAACAGAATCCTAAAGCAAGCAAGGGAGAAAGAGGTAGTAACATATAAGGGAGCCCCGTTACGGCTAGCAGCTGACTTCGCAACAGAAACACTGCAAGCCAGAAGGGAATGGCAAGAAATCTTCCAAGTCATGAAAAGCAAAGGCCTGCAACCAAGACTGCTCTACCCAGCAAGGCTCTCAATTAAAGTGGAAGGTGAAATAAGCAGTTTCCCAGACAAAAGAAGGCTAAAAGAATACACCTCCACCAAACCAGCACTGCAAAATATGCTAAAGGGACTGCTTTAAGATGAAGACAAAGTTTCTATGAATACCTAGTTCCTTTCAGAGTTGCCAATACTTGATATTACCAATATTTTTAATACTCATTAATCTGATTGTGACAATGACGTTATTTTAATTGTTCCTTTGTTATTTGTAGAAACTAAACCTGTTTTTGTATATTTCTTGCCTATTTCTATTATTTTTTAAAAAACTTTAAATGACTTCTTGGTATTCTTGATCCATTTATCGATTAAATGGAACTTTCGATTTGTAGAACTTTTTTCCCTAAAAAACAAGAAACCCTATTAACCCTGTTTCTAGATGTGTTGCAAATACTTTCCTATTCTCTTCCTTGTCCTTTAACTTTTTTTATATGTGTATTACTATATAGTCTTAAATGTTTAATATAGTCACATTGTCAATATTTACTTCAGAGCTTCTGAGATTGAATATTTGACTTCAGGTCATGAAAAATATTAGTTCCATTTTCTTCTAAAACTCCTTAGATTCTACATATTGATTTTCAACTCACCTGAATAGTTCTTGTATAATGTGTGAAATAGGGCTCTGTATTTGTTTTATTTCAAGTAATAGTGGTCTATGCACCTAGTTTGTTGAATAAGTCTAGTTTTCCCCATTGATTTGAAATATCAACTTAATTATATATTATATTGTTAGGCAGATATATACATTTGTCTCTAGAATGCTCATTATATTTCACTGGTCTGACAGATTATTTCTGTGCTGGTGTCATGTTGGTTTAATTGCTGAGACTTTAGAATGGTTTTAAATTTTTCTAATATTTTATAATTAACTTTGACATTTAAAAAAATAAATAAAATCAATCTGCATTTAAGAAAGAACGAACGAACGAAAGAAAGGGAGAGAGATGGAACTCCTACCTTTTGTGACAACATGGATGGAACTGGAGAATATTAAGCTAAGGAAAATAAGCCAGTTGATGAGAGACAAATACCATATGATCTCACCTATAAGTGGACTGTATTCAACAAAATAAACTAATGAATAAAATAAACCACAGGATGGAAACATGGAGCAGAATGAAAGTGACCAGAGTGGATGGGGAAAGAGGACAATGGTGGAAAGAAGGGGAAGGGCCTAGACAAAGAACATGTATGAATGACCCATGGACATGGACAACAGAGTGGGAATTGACTGTGGGAGTGGGGGGTGGGGGTGGGATGGGTGGAGGGGGGTAAAGGGGTAAAAACTGAGAGAACTGTAATTGAATAAACATGATTTATAAATTAAAAAAAAGAATAAAATGTAAAAAAAAATAAACATTTTATTTAATCAAAATTTCATACATTATATTCGCTTCCACAAACCAGGATCACAACATCAATTATTAGTGGTTGCTCTGCATACAAAACAGCTTTTCTTACCTGCAGCCACTCTCTTTCTATCAGGGCCTCAAAACCACGGATGGTCCTGCTCCTTGGTTCTAAGATGATCTGGGCCAGGGAGGTAACCTGAAGTGTGGAATCAGTTCCTTCTGTTCCATGAATCAGTATGGATGCTCCTTCCCTGACAAGGTAATTCACAGTACAAATTGACTCTTAACACAGTCAACTGAGTCCGCTAATAACAAATGTCCATTGGTACAATGTCTTTTGTATTCTGTTTTGTCCCATAGAGTTTAGAGTCTAAGTAAGGTATATTAAAAAGAATTTCCTTTGAGAAAAAATAAATAAAACTATACTAGGTCCCAAATTTCCGATGGCAAGAACCTCTTTAAGTTATAACAAATTTCACAGCATCTTTTAGCTGAAATTTTTCTCTCTTTACAAAAAACAGAAAGTCTTTAATACACACAAATAGGCACTTACCCTTTTGGTTTTATAGTTGATTAAAAGGCTTTCTCCAAAATATATAAAGAATTCATAGGACATGACATCAGGAAGACAAAAAAATCCAATTAAAAAATGGGCAAAGGGCCTGAATAGACATACAGAGGAATATACAGATGGCCCAAAGACGTTTAAAAAAATTCTCAACATCACTAGCCATCAGAAAAATGCAAAATAAAACCACAATGAGATATTACCTCACACTTGTCAGAATGGCCATCATAACTAAATCAACAAACAGCCATGTGCTGGTGAGAATGTGGAGAAAGGGGGGCCCTAGTACACTGCTGGTGGGAACGCAGACTGGTGCAGCCACTGTAAAAACAGTATGGAATTCCCAAAGAAAAATAAAAATGGAACTGCCTTTTCACCAAGCAATTCCATTGCTGGGAATATACCCTAAGAATCCTGAAACACCAATTCAAAAGAACCTATGCACCCCTATGTTCATAGCAGTGCTATTTACAATATCCAAGTGCTGGAAACACTCTAAGTGCCCATCAGTAGATGAATGGATTAAAAAACTGTGGTACATTTACACAATGGAGTACTATGAAGTAGAAAGAAAGAAGAAGGAATCTCTACCCTTTGCAAACCATGATGGAAGTGAAGAGTACTATGTTAAGTGAAATAAGCCAGTCAGAGAAAGACAAATACCATATGACCTCACTTATAAGAGGAATCTAGTGAACAAAATAAAATAACCAGCATAACAGAACCAGAAACATGGAAACAGGGAACAGACTGACAGCTGCCAGACGAGGGTGGGGGGGAATGGTAGAAAGAAGGGGAAGGGACTAGTCAAAGAACATGAGAACATGTATGACTGACCCATGGACATGGACAATGGTGTGGGGACTGAATATGGGAGTAGGGTGGGGGACTGGGAGGAGAGGAGCAAAGGGAGGAAAATTGGGACAAATAAGAATAAAAAAAAGAGAGAGAGATTAAAAAAAAAAAAAGGAAACCAAAAAGTCACCTCTAACTGCAGCTTTGCTAAAGCCAAACAGGGATCCAGACTTTCTGTGGCTTATAAATGGCAATAATAAAATATTGTCCTCTTGGATTAAAAACAAAACAAAGGCTTTTCTCTTCAAATCTAGAAACACAAACTTAAAATTATTTTTCTGTATCTCTCTGAGCTTGGTCCTACCTTTTACCATTAGCTAGCTAACTGTAAGGGCACCTTCATAAACTGCAATGGATTTGGGAAAAAAGTGTTGAATCATACTTGGAGAAACATGAAACAGGAAGAAAAAAAATTTAAAAACACATTAAAAAAAACCCTTCAAACTAAAAAGATAGTGGCAATGATACCATAACACTTAGGAGGTGTCTAGGACCCCATTTTTCTAAAAAGAATGGTAGGAAGCACCAAAAACTAAATGAACTATATCTCCCCTCCCCTTCTGCCACCTCTTATGTTGAAATGACAGTGAAGAAAATTTTGGAAAAACTAAAGAAAATAAGCTCACCACTTTCTTGTGAAAGTTTCATTCTTGGTTATTACTGTTAATTATTTTCCTATGTATGTATATACTTTACATAGCTATTAACAAAAGGTAATTTCTTATGATTTCCACTTTTATTATAAACACTCCCATTTTTCTTTGCCATCTTTAGAAGTATTGTATTTACAATACAAATACAAATACAAAGTATGGTTATTAAATATTCTGTTAAATGATCAGCTACAATTTACTTAATCCTATGGTTGAACATTAAGGTTATCGCCAATTTTTGTGACACTGCAGATGATATACTTAGCTTTTTGTCTTTTGCTGAATTATTTGAGTTCTTAATTTAAAAATAAGACTCCCTGATGTTAACTTATGGTTAACAGCTTCATTCTTAGCATGAAATCTAATGCGTACGCTGGAAAGTATCTGAGCAAGTATTTTAAGATTTCTGATATATATTAAATGTATCTCTTAGTTATCTGTGTTATATTCTAAATTTAATTCCATTAATTTAAGGCCAATTTTTAAATTTTTAGTAATTAATTATAAGGGCAGATTTTTATGGAGGTGTAAGTAATAAGCTAATATATATATATAACCCAATATTGGAAACCAAATATTGGAAAATAACCCAAATCTTCAGCTCCCCAAAGAGAATGGAAGTTCCTGTTTGGTTAAAGTGGCCAACTCCAACTAAGCAAAGGTGGAGATGAGGAACACTGCTCTGCGCGGAGGGCTGCCCAGACCTGCATCTTCTCATCACTGTGGCTGAAAACTTGGACAACCTGGAGGTAAGTGTCTATTATAATTCATGTTTCACAAGAAAGCAGGAGCCTCTGTACTTATCATGGAAGGGGAAATCTTTTAAATTTAGGTTAAAAAGAAACTAAACCCTTAGTATTAGCATCTCATCATTCTGAATTATTCATTCCTTTGCCATATGATCTTAGTCCTTAACTCCCATATTTTATTAGAAAAATGAGCTTCATCTAAAATAAAGAACAGTGACAGCCTGGGAATCCTGATGCCTTGGTTCTGTCACTGACCTACTCCATGATTTTAAGCAACTCATTCTATAATCAGTTTCTCACTACCCATTAAAAAGTTACATATGTAATTCCCTAGTTTGGAAGTATCAATAAAACAAATCAAATTCTCAAAGAAAAGTGCCATCCAACTACGTGATGGTGTTACTTATCCCTTCCTATTGTTTCAGTGGGAATCTCCTTAAAAAGGAGAAGCTAAACTTCTGCAACAACTTACACCAATCCTTCTGCCTCTGTTCAAGTCTTCTGCTCGAAGCTCAAGAATTAGTGATCTTAAACTGACTGAATAAACTAAAATCACTTCATATACTTTACATCACTACCATCAGGTTTTCTCAACTTGAGATCCTGTTACATGGGCACACATCAAATAGTTTGTATTAAGATATCTGAGAGATTAGAAAGATTATTTTACTGGGCAACAAAATTACATGCTCCCTTTCATGATATTTCAAAAGTAAGAAGGCAAGTTTGGCCCTCTGAGAAAATATAAGAAAACTTTTCTTTCTCACAGTTTAAGAGAAGGAAAATTGGTAGATTAGTAATATAAGGATTGTGTTAAAAAGTAGGTCTTTGGTATTTAAAAAATTTGTGCCATCAAAGACATATATGTACATGGTTCACAATTCATTTAACAAACTAATTATCAGTGAAATGCCAAACCCTATGCACACACATCAATAAATGAATGCCATTGAACATCTTATATAGTAATTTATAAAATGATTTGAACATAAGATACAGAATATGCACCAACTTTAATATACAGACACAACTTGTTTTATTGAACTTTACCTCATTGCACTTTGCAGATAGTGCATTTTTAACAAATTGAAGGTAAGACCTTTATAACAGCAAAGATTACAACTTGCTGAAGGCTCAGATGGTGGTTAGAGTTTTTTTAGAGTACAGTATTTTTAAATTAAGGTATATACATTTTTTAAAAGAAAGAATGCTATTATACACTTAATAGACTACAGTATAGGTAAACATAACTTTTAAATGCATTGGGAAATCAAAAAATTCATGTGGCGTGTTTTATTGAGACATTTACTGTATTGCAGTAGCCTGGAGCTGAACCTGTAATATCTCTGAGGTCTATGTTAATATGTAAACATATATCTGGATAAAAGCAAAGTATAGTTAGCAGTGTATGTCCCATTCTGGAACACTGAACTGTACTTTACCTGTCAATACACTGAGCTGCTAGACAGGCAGTTGTCAGAATCTCTTTGATGTGAGTCAGCCAGTTTGAAGATTCCAATTTACCGAGCCATCGGTCCATGTTATGTGTTTGGTCATTACAAGCTTCCACAAGTTTGATTAAGCTCTCCTGAAGAATGTGATACCTTTTAAAACACAAGGAAAGGAAAAACAAACAAAAAACAATGAAGGAAGAAACCATACCAAAAATCCAGCCTCCAATGAATCCAAGAGCAAAAGTAGCTCAAAATACTATAAAAATATTTACCTTGCTATATAAAAACTTGAGGATTAAATATTGAAAAATTAATATGATTGCAAAGATGCTTAAAGTGCCTGTCATGCCTAGTAACCTGTTCCCCACCTGAACAGATTAAACTCTGGCTGAAGATCTGAGTTATTTGCTTGAGGAGAGCGCCAGAGCACTGCATTTCGTGACAGGCCGGAGACGGCACACTGACACCTGCAACCCTCCTCCCACGGATCCACCTGGAGGTCAGCAGGGGGCCCAAAGCCGACTCGGATCCCACTGTTGTTTTTCTTTTAAAGATTTTATTTATTTACTTTTAGAGAGAGGGGAAGTGAGGGAGAATGAGAGAGAGAGTGAGAAACATCAGTGTGTGACAGATACATCAACTGGTTGCCTCTCACGTGCCCCCAAACAGGGACCTGGCCTGCAACCCAGGCATGTGACCTGACTAGGAACTGAGCCGGAGACCTTTCGGTTCATAGGCCTGTGCCCAATGCACTGAGCCACACCAGCCAGGGCCAAATCCCACTGTTTTATTAGCTCCGACTCCCACCCATCTGCCCGGAAGCACTAACAAACCTATAACTGCAAGCATGAACAGGAAATGATCTAGGTAGAGGAGATAGGGTGTGAGAATAGGTGGGTATGGGGGAAGTTAAATGTCTAAAGTCTTTTGACTTAGGAAAATACAGTTATATGTAGCATAACTGTTTAGGCTTGGTGACCACTGACCTACAAGTGGAGGAGCAGGCCTTGTGGTGATAAAATTTCAGAGATGACTCAGAGAAACGGTGCTATTTGACTTAAGCTTGTCTGTGGGCATCCAAGGGAAGCTTTCTGCTTACAAAACCAAATGATGGCACAGCCAGTCAATTTTGGAATCTAAATTAATGTGCAGATTTGCAACTTCTGAACAGCTAACGGGTCACCCACTCTAATTAGCTTCAAATAGAGTCCATCACTGTTTCCAGAATCTTTTACCTCTCAATGGACTTATGAATCCGCCTCCACTGGGGATAATGAGCTTCTTGTTCAAAGCCACCTCCTTTGGCTCTAGCTTGCTGAGCTACGTTTAGAGATCGGGTATCGATGATATAGCCACGCTTTCCTGCTCTGAGGGTGGCATTTATCAGCTTCTCATCTTCTTTGCACCGTCTACCATTTGTGCCAGTCAGTGGCTGACCACTTCGCATAATTACCTAGAATCACAATACAGCTTAAAAGTTCATAGTGGCTGTTCTTAAAGTTTTTGAAAACAGAAATAAATTAGCTAGATTAAGAGTATTTCAAAAACAATGGTGTGACACTTTGGAGATGGAGGGATCCTAAGACAAAGACACATTTCTATGTACTGACAAAGTTAATAATTGTAAAACAAAAATAAGCCTTGCACTTTCAAATGACTTTTCACTATCTCCAAATACTTTCACACAATAAATCATAGTTCCTCTTTAAGATCAGACATTACAATTCATTAGTCAGTGAATAATTATCCAGTTGATCTGGCCCTATAATTAAGATAATAATAACCTATGCACCAATAAACTTTTGCTTCAATTTTACATAAACTTAGGGTTGGCCAGAATTATAAAGAAAAAAGCATCAATGGCAAAATTTTAAAGTTTATCCATTATTGTTTTGGGAATCATTTTCAATATCTTGAAAGCTGCTCGTTACTATTTATTCTCCAGTGGCCCTGTCATCCTTTTCAGTATTCCAAGTCTTAACCATTAATGTTTCCAGATACTACAAACTATATATTTTGAAAGGTTTCCTTTTGAAATTTTCCTCAAGAAATCAGTAACTATTATACAGATCTCTTTCCCTGGTAGATGGCTTAAGAGTTATTTCTTTTTTTATTGTATTTTTTTCAATTACCTTTTAGTCTCCTTATACCCTCCTTCCCCCAGCAACTGCCACACTGTTGTCCATGCCCATGAGTCATTTTTCCTTTTTGCTCAGTCCCCCTGCCCCCTCACTTCCCCCTGCATTAGCTGTCATCCTGCTCTCCATCTATGAGTCTGTCCCCATTTTTCTTGTTAATTTAGTTTGTTCACTAGATTCCATATATGAGTGAAATGATATGGTATTTGTCTTTCTCTGTCTTATTTCACTTAGCATAATGTCTACAGGCTTAGAATTATTTCAGCTTAACTCTATAGTATATACTGTGATCTTAACTACCTTAGAATTTAACATGATCAAGAAACATGACAGCTAACTCTCAGATGGCATTTACCATGTAAATGGACACACAGTGCACAAGCACATTTAACATCAATTATCAAAATACTTTATAATGAACCCACATTAAAAACCGATATACATTGAGCAAGCAGAACAGGTGGCCTGATGCCAAACTAGCAGAGTTTTGGAAATCTTTTTATCCTAAATATCCATGTTTGACTTAATACTAGGAGGAAAATAATCGAAGATGGCTATAATTTATCCTCTAATTTACTACTGGACTCAAAATGAAATAGTTCATTGACTGAGAGAATATCAGAGGAGAGAAATGGGTTTAGAAAATGTTTAGGAAACATACACAGTGAACAGCTGCCTATTCAATTCTTGACTCCTGTGTTTACTTGTGACTAATAACGTGTCACTCTTCTCCTTTTTGAAAATAAAAACATCTGCTCAATTTACCTTTCACAGGAAAATTTTTAAAATAAAGTATCTTACCACCATTCTGGTCAGAAAAAGTACTTCTCTGCCTACGAGTGTTATTTTAAGTGGCACATGAATATTAGTTCCCTTCATACTGAGTCCTAAGGCTAAACCTATCTGGGGTTTTCCAAGGTTGAGCAGTATCATGGAAAGAATTCAAAGTCACATACTGATCACAGAAAACACTCTACTCTTGATTCCCTAAAGTTTAAAAGAAGGAAGTCCCAGCAGAAAAGACTCATCACTTAAATGGAAAGGTACACAGAAAGGGAACATTTCAAAAAAAAAAATCCTCAAACCAAGTCTTTTGGTAGATCAAGCAGCAGTACCGTACACTTACCATTCCATTTTTTTTATGATAATAACTGAGTACTGGAAAGCGTCCTCCATGACGAAATGTAGCTACCTTCCGAAGAGCTTCATCATCAATGGATTTGGGCACTATGACAATTGGCGGGTAAGAAGGGCAGACCGCAAATTCCTTATTAACGTAGCTTAACCTCCACTCATTGGTCTGAAAAACAAAATACTTCAAAGCTAAGCAAGTATTGCAATGTCACAAAATAATCCGAAAAGTGTTAAAGGACCTTAGAGACCAATTTTCACACACTGAAGAAGCCATCTCAGGAATTTAATAGAAGGATGCCTATCCCATACTTACACTTCCAGAGGAAAGGCACTCCACTCTGCAGAGTCAGCTTCCTGCAATGCTAGGTATCCCCAGTTCCTAGAGAGTTCTTCCTCATATTTAGAAAAATGTGTTGCTCTATAACTTCTTCTATTGGCTTTTACCATGATTTCAGTACAGGTTCCCTATTTCACATGGCATCCTATCAAATGTGTGAAAGACAGTAGTTTCTCCCTCAGTCTTCTATTCTCCAAGTTGAATTTATTAAGAATATCCAACTATCAGAGCTGACATCATCTTATGCGGACCATTTACTTTGTTAATAGTACTTGTAAAGTACAGCAACAGAAAGACTGTAATACTTCAGACAATACTGAACCAGAACAGACAAGAATAGAGCTACTACTTATGTCAAATCCTTTGTTCCTTTCTATTATTTAAAAAAGGAGAAAAATGTAGAAAGATTGGCAACATCTTTCTTAAAAGAATAATGACAATACTAAAAAAAAGTTATACTCAGGAGTTAGTAAAAAAGTATAAATATAAAACTATCAAATGACAACTTATTTCAAACATCAAAAATGAAAACCACTTGAAGACTAAAAAACTTTTAAAAGTGAAATAAATAAAATTATATATATATGTAAATTTCAACATGTTCCTGTAAACCAGAGTCAACCTAACAACATACTGGCCACAGGTTGTAGTACCAGAAGGATAAAACTGGTTTGGTAGATCTACTGTAGGACAAGAGCATTTTTTAAACATTTTTACAAGATTATACACACACACGATATATTTTTAAATCTTCTTATTGATTTTAGAGAGGGGAAGAGAGTGAGACAGAGGAGAGAAAAAGCAATGCCAGAGAGAAACATCAATTGATTGCCTCTCCTATGACCTAACCAGGACCAAACCTCCAATCTAGGCACGTGTCCTGACCAGGCATTGAACCTGTGACCTTTCAGTTTACCGGACAATATTCCAACCAACTGAGCAACACTGGCAAAGGCTACAATACCATATTTTAAATTACATTTTTCACTTTTCAAAGTTATTCATGTTACCAATTTAAAAAAGATATTTTCTAAAAGATCCATGATATAGGAAAAGGAAATTACCTGTTCCCTGCTTACCCATCTCCTAATTCCCTCTCCCCGAAAGCAACAATTTTCAATTCTTCTAGGTTGCATGTGTGTGTTTACCTCCAAATTTCTAAATAAGCATGACTATACTGTTACTTCCTGATTTTTCACTATTAGGTATATTGATTTCCTACTCAGGAGAATGACACGATTCTCCATTGATTGGCAATGCCACTTCTGTCATATATTAAGTTTCCTTACATATAGGGCTCTCTAGTCTGCCCAACTGGTCTGTCTGTAGTGAGTCCCACAGCTTTTAGAATAAGCTTGATATGTAGCAGGCTAAGTCTCCTCCTCCCTTCTTTTTGTTCTTCAAAAGTAACTTGGCTCCTCTTGGTCCTTTTCTCTGCCATGTAACCTTTATCAAATTCCATGTAAAAACCCACTGGGGTTTTAATAAGAGTGTGTTGACTTTATAGATGTATTTGAAGATAGTTACAACTTTTCAATATTCAACCTTCCTGTCCATGAGCATGGTGTCCCACAACTTTTTAAAACTTTCTTAACTTTTTCACCCTGACTGGTGTGGCTCGGTGGTTTGAGTGATGGCCTGTGAACTGGAAGGTCACAAGTTCAACTTCTGGTCAGGGCACATGCCTGGGTTGCGGGCCAGGTGCCTGCTTGTGGGTGTGTGAGAGGCAACTGGTTGATGTTTCTCTCGCACGTATTTCTCTCCCTCTTCGTCCCCCCCTTTCCCTCTCTCTAAAAATAAATAAAATAAAACTTTCTCAATTTTTTCAATAAAGCTAGATAAATCTCTTGTCTAAAACCCTTACAGTTTTATTTCACTTATGTTTCCAAAATTGTGTTGGGTATAGACATATGCCTATAATCTCAAGATTCTTTCATTTTCTTACGTAGACAAGTATATGATCAACACAAAATGGCAATTTTGCTACTTTCATTTCAATCCTTGTACCTTTTATTTTTCCTTCTTGACTCCCTGAGCTGGCCATGAGTGGTGCTATAGAGACATTCTTGTCTCACTCTTTTAACTTTAAGGGAATGATAAAAAATTTGCTTTTTATATGTTTTTGGTAGTTACCCTTTATTAGAGTAAACGAATTCCTTTCAAATCCAATGCTGCTGACAGTTTTATCATGAATAAATGTTTAATTTTACCAAATTATTTCTTTCTTTTCTAATTTTGTTATACTAGTATATAATTTTTCTTCTTTCTGGCTAATTTTGATGTTCTCTTTGTCTTACTGTTTGATAGTTGAACTCAACACATCTAAAGATTACTTTCTGATTATCTTTCATGGTGTCTCCTGCAGTACCTTAATCCAAGGGTTTGTGACTTACATTAATTCTAGGAAATTCTCAATGATTATCTATTTGAATATTGCCTTTCTTCCATTTTCTCTATTACCTTCTTCTTGAATTCCCATTTACTACGGATTGGCTCTTCTTCCCTTTATCATTCATTAAAGTATCTAACTTCTCTGTCATTTTTTCTCTGTTCTGTATTCTGAGTAATTACTTCATATGTATTCCAGATCACTAGTTCTCTCTTTAGTTGTTTCTAATCAGCTACTTAACCTTACATTAAGTTATTCTTTTCTTTTTAATCAACTTTATTGTGATTTTATTACTTATATAAAAAACAAATCCATTTAGAGTACACAGTTTCATGAGTCTTAACAGTTGTTTGTATCTGTGAAACCACTACCACAATCAAGATAACAAATGAACATTTTAATCATCTCCCGCAGAAATCCCTTGTATATTTTTGCAGTCCATATCTTACCCTTTATATCCAACACTAGGAAATCATTAATCTGCTTTCAGTCATTTTTGATGTCATATCTATGAAATCTTTGTATAATTGAAAGTCATAAAGACTTTCTCCTGGGTTTTCTTCAAAAAGTTTTATGGTTTCAACTTCTAGGTTTCTTTTTTTGTTTTTTGTTTTTTTTTTTTTTAAATCATGTTTATTCTATTACAGTTGTCTCAATTTTTACCCCTTTACCCCCCTACACCCATCCCACCCCCACCCCCCACTCCCACAGTCAATTCCCACTCTGCTGTCCATGTCCATGGGTCATTCATACATGTTCTTTGTCTAGGCCCTTCCCCTTCTTTCCACCATTGTCCTCTTTCCCCATCCACTCTGGTCACTTTCATTCTGCTCCATGTTTCCATCCTGTGGTTTATTTTATTCATTAGTTTATTTTGTTGAATAGAGTCCACTTATAGGTGAGATCATATGGTATTAGTCTTTCAAAGACTGGCTTATTCCACCTATACTTGTGGAAGAATAGCACAACATTCTCCAGTTCCATCCATGTTGTTGCAAAAGGTAGGAGATCCTTCTTTCTTCCTTTCATTTTTTAAAAATGCAGGTTGATTTTATTTATTTATTTATTTAAATGGCAAGATCCATTAAAAAATATTAAAAAATTTAAATCTATTATAAAGTCTGAGCAACTAAAACAACATGACACAGGCACAGAAATAATCAACTAGATCAATGAAATAAAATGAGCATTGTAGAAACAAATGAATATATCTAACAATGTAATAGATGATTAAACTGGTATTTCAAATCAATGGGAAAATAAGTCTTATTCAACAAATAAGGTGCATGGACCACTATTACTTGATATAAAACAAATATAGAGCCCTATTTCACACATTATACAAAAAATATCCAAATGAGTTAAAAAATCAATATGCAAAATCTAAGGAGTTATAGGAGAATATACAAAATAATATTTTTCTTACCCAGAAGTAACATATTCAAATCCAGAAGCTATAAAGTAAGATATTGACAATATGACAAATATTGACAAAGGTAGGAGTTCCATCTCTCTCCCTTTTTTTCGTTCGTTCGTTCGTTCGTTCTTTCTTTCGTAAATGCAGATTGATTTTATTTATTTTTTTAAATGTCAAAGTTAATTATAAAATATTGGAAAAATTTAAAACCATTCTAAAGTCTCAGCAATTAAACCAACATGACACCAGCACAGAAATAATCTGTCAGACCAGTGAAATATAATGAGCATTCTAGAGACAAATGTATATATCTGCCTAACAATATAATATATAATTAAGTTGATATTTCAAATCAATGGGGAAAACTAGACTTATTCAACAAACTAGGTGCATAGACCACTATTACTTGAAATAAAACAAATACAGAGCCCTATTTCACACATTATACAAGAACTATTCAGGTGAGTTGAAAATCAATATGTAGAATCTAAGGAGTTTTAGAAGAAAATAGAACTAATATTTTTCATGACCTGAAGTCAAATATTCAATCTCAGAAGCTCTGAAGTAAATATTGACAATGTGACTATATTAAACATTTAAGACTATATAGTAATACACATATAAAAAAAGTTAAAGGACAAGGAAGAGAATAGGAAAGTATTTGCAACACATCTAGAAAAGGGTTAATAGGGGCTTTTTTAGGGAAAAAAGTTCTACAAATCGAAAGTTCCATTTAATCGATAAATGGATCAAGAATACCAAGAAGTCATTTAAAGTTTTTTAAAAAATAATAGAAATAGGCAAGAAATATACAAAAACAGGTTTAGTTTCTACAAATAACAAAGGAACAATTAAAATAACGTCATTGTCACAATCAGATTAATGAGTATTAAAAATATTGGTAATATCAAGTATTGGCAACTCTGAAAGGAACTAGGTATTCATAGAAACTTTGTCTTCATCTTAAAGCAGTCCCTTTAGCATATTTTGCAGTGCTGGTTTGGTGGAGGTGTATTTTAGCCT